TACAATAGGCTACATCAGCGGTTCCCAATTCCAGCCCATGTTCCGAAGTGAAGTAAACTTCAACGGATTTCCCCTGCTCGGGGAGGAGGGAGCAATGAACACTGTAGGGATCATATAGATCGGAACACAGTTCATGCACGTAGCTCACTTCTAACGAGCTGGCGCAAGAACTGGATTAACCGCGGGGCTATATCATGTGTCATTCACCGGTGAGAAATCTTTAAAAGTACTACAATACCAGGAAGGAAGATCGGGTTGTTGATGTTTGCCTGCCATCCTCGCTCTGTCTGCACAGCGTGCGTGAACGCGCTGATGACGTATCCTGTCTGCGCGAACAGGGTGCGCAGAGGTATGCTAATACATATGTTGACAGGCAGGTAGGAAAGCATATTAAAACGCTCGGACAACAAATGTTTCTGAAGACAATCGCCTATTGCACCTTTAATATAGAGATATCGATATTTTTTATCCAGATTTAAACGGTACACCTGATTCCAAAAATAGCATGTCACACTTTCGTGCATTTTGTAGGATTTAAACTTTTGACAACCATTTGTAAGGTGAAGAAGTCTTGTATTATCCATTAATCACCAGTAAAACTGCAACACAGTCATGATTCCTATGTTCCTCTGAACCAGGTTACAACTGTTTGCTTAATTCAAAGCAGTTTTCATGCATTATTTTATGCCTAATCCTGATGTCAAGGTTAGAATTATGACCAGGGACAGTAGAAAATGTGGGTGTTTTACAACATACGAACAGCAACAAAAAATGCAGATTTTGTTTGAAAAACATTCATTTATAAAATGTAGTGCATATTTTTCCACTCCTTTGCAGATTGTAAATTAAATGATGCATTTAGAATACGTCTTTTTGTTGTGAAAACTTTTGACATTTCACTTCTTTTTGTTATTTTAAATGCATTAAAACTGATACATATATAATTTGAATAAACCTTCATTCTTATTTTGTGAAAACTTTCCATCCTGTATAGTTTTTTTTTTTAACTCTGCATAATCAAATTAGGTCATATTAGGCTTTTTTGTATATCAGCTCAGATTTTTTTTCAATATCAATACAGGACTGTGTAACTTATCATAAACACTGTGATATTCCATAAAGAAAATTATCAATTTAGATTGCAAATAAAAAACAAAAACAAAAAACTACACAATGACCTATTAATTTCTAATGGTCATTATGTGAACTGATCATGACTGATACTGATATACTGTGATTTGGTTGTTTTTAAGTCAGGTTGTTGTTTTTCTACAGACTTTTTTGTGTGTGGTGATTGTAAAGGGAACATGTGGTTTAACCAGCCTCCTAATCTGTCCACCTGGACTCAAAGAAGACCGGCAAGTATCCTTATACTCTCTCATAGATATAATGATCATAATTATGTCAATCATGCAGTCATGTGTTTCTGATAAATTGTTTGTGTGACTGGTCTGTAGGCACACACAGACAAAGTGAGTGTACTGCGGCTTACAGAGAGCCTCATCATCTCAGCGTCTCATGACAGAACCGTCAAACTGTGGGACAGACGAACTAAGAAACAGGTATTTTTATTCTTGCTTTTATGCACGGTGTGTATACCAGTGTTTATTTAATTTCCTTTCGGTGTCATACTCATTTTCTGTATTTCACAGGTGGGCATGTTTGTGTGTGGAGGCCCTGTCAAGGTTCTGGAGGTGAACCCATGTAACCCCAAGAAATTTGTTTGCAGTGATACGCAGGGTCAGCTGTACTTCCTGTTTTGGAAAGGTTGATTTCCTGAACATCAGTCAAAGGACACAGTCACTTGTTGCATGCCATTATTATACATTATTCGTAATCTTTCATCTTTTTTACCATCAGTTGTAATGTTGCATTCTGCACATTTTCATTTTATTTTACGTGCATGAAGCATCTTGCACTAATGATACTATTGCCTTAAACTAATCCATGATATGATGAATATTTGTGTTGATTTCATTATATAAATTTGACAGCCACTTGATTATATATTCAGTTATATTAAATAAATTTTTTTAAAATTTATATATATATTATATATATAATGCTTTTCTGGGCGAATAAACGGTCTGCAAGTACACATGGGGAAAAGCAGATGTTTATAAACTGTTTATAAGCTATTTGCATTTTTTGAACTTCATTATTCATTAATGGCTCCATATTAATGGTTTATTACTTTTAACCAATAGGTGGCGATGTTACCAAATTGATGTGGTGTGGTCAGTGTAAGATGACAATGATACACAAAGTTTGGTGTCAATATGTCAAAGCTGTGCAAAGATACAGCCTCAGATGCAGTTTGGCATCATGCCATCAAATTTGTTGATGCTGTAAATGAAAACCGTTTCATCTATCAACAACTTGAACTCTGTTTTTTTTTTCTTTTTGATGATATGAGCCAAATTTGGTGAAAGTCGTACCAAAGGTCTAGGAGGAGTTTGAAAAAGTAGGTTTTCAATATAAATCAAAATTGTGGAAAGAACGTTTGGCCAATTATGGCATAATTGATGTTCTCTGCATGATTTGAGGAATCTATCAAGACAGGTCTCATGACAATCATCAATATTAGTTATTAGTTCTTCGCATTTTTTGAATTTATTATAATTTTGCCACAAAACATTTTGAGTACCTTCAGGGCAATCATGCTGAAGATACATTCCAAGTTTCGTAACAATATGCAAATGCATTTGTAAAATATAGCATTTTGTCTAAAAAGGTAAAATGGCTGACGCCCAAAATGGCCGACAAGGGAAAACTGGGTACCATTTGACTCGACATGTTGCTCTGAATGTAAAGAGACTTCTTCTGACAGTTGTGTGATTTTTGGCCAAACCATTCAGAAGTTTTTAAGCCATTTAAAATGTAAAATAGCCATTTTTCACATCTCCTGACCATTAGGTTACGCTGTGGCGAATCTGCAGGTACCCTCAGATAATTTTTTTTAAACATACACCAAGTTTGGGTTGACTACGCTAAATCGCTGTGGAGATATAGCCTCACGTCCAACTTGACATGCTCTTTGTCAAAATCGTTTTTCGAAAACGGTTTGACTAATCAACTTGAATTACGTAACATTTTTGTCAGCATGGAAGAGGACCTGCACCAGTTTCGGTGACAAACTTTCTAGGACCAGTTCAAAAATGTTTTTGGAATAATGGAAAATAAATAAACTTTAAAAAATCTTGACTTAAAGAAATTGAAATTTTCATGAGCCAAGTAATGAGAGGAAAATAGAATTTTGCTTCTAATCTTTTGTTTGAGCTGTTGGTGGCACTAGAGGTTTTGAGTTAGAGACTCCACACTTTTTTGTGGTTAATGTTCTGACTGTCCTCTATCTGTCTGCCAAATTTCACAACCTTTACCATACGGTTCTATGGACTGCCATAGACATCCAGAGCAGAAGAAGAAGAAAACTAATGGTTACAATAGGTGCCTATGCATCTTCAGTGATTGACCCCTAATAAAGACATTTTGCACTAGAAAAATACACAAGATAATTGGCACAAATTATGCTGCTTAATTCTGATTTTACATTATTAGCATCTCTATATACCACTAAATTAAAACCATGTTTGGAGGATATTATATCTGTCACCCAGTAAGGATTTATGAGGGGAAGAAATATTTCAAATAATATTCGACCGGTGTTAGACCTTTTAGACTATTCCATGAAGAAGCTCTTATTTTGTTTTTAGTTTTTTATAAGGCGTTTGATACCGTTGATTACAATTTAATGTTTCAGGACCTCAATCATTTTGGTTTTGGCCCAGCCTTTACAAATATGATGCACACATTTACGATAATATATCAAGTAATATATGTTTGTCCAGTGGTGGTACTTCTTATTTTGTGGTTCGTAGAGGCATTAGACTGGGATGCTCTATTTCCCTTTTTTATTTTTTAGTAGCTGAAATTTTAAATATTTACCTTGTACTTCGCTCACAAATTAAAGGCATTGAGATTGGAGATTTCACTTTAACTATTTATCAGGGTTCTGTCACTTCAGTCTAGTTTATTCGTTGTTTTGTGACAGAGCCCTGACACTCCCATCTTGTCTGGTTTTCTTGTCCTTGTGTTGAGCGTGCAGTCTCGAGTATTCTCGAGTCATGCGCTCTCTTGTATGTGTGCCTTGTTTCATGTTGGAGTGTGGTGTTCGGATCCTGGCACTTATGTCTTGTTCAGTTTCGGTTTGGTGTCGGGGTTCGGACACTCACGCTCCATGTTCTGTTTTGTTGTGGAAGCATGTGGTCTCGAGTTCGCTCGGGCCGTACGCTCTTCTGTCCACGTGCCTTGTGTTGTTGTCCACATGTCTTTCATGTTATGTCTTGTGCTGTGTAGCACGCAGCTTGTGTTTTTCATTGGCTGCGTGCTTTCATGTTGTCATGTCTTGTGTGAACACGCGGCTTGTGAGTATTCTCATTAGCTGCGTGTTCGTGTCTTGTTTTGTTCAAGCACATGGCTTGTAATTGTTTTGCTGGCCATGTGCTTGTGTTTTTGTTTTGTGTGAGCACATGGCTTTTGTCTTTGTTTCCTGCATGCCATGTGGTCTCATGTCAATTGTCTACCCCACCCACCTCGTTACCTGATTATTGGTTTATTTGGCCCACCTGTCTTACCTCGTTACCCTCCTCATTTGCTCCCTATTTCTCTCCTTGTGTTTGCAGTCCTGTACTAGTTCGTGGTTGTATGCATCCTGGATGTGTCCTGTCCTGTCTTGCCTAGCCAAGCCTTGTCTTGTTGCCAGCTGTGTTTTTCCCCCACGGGGTGGTTTCTAGTGTTAGAAGTGAAGTGGGTAGAAATGTTATGACAAGCTCTTTGAGAAGTTGGACATTGAGGAAGGGGAAAAGGACAGGGACAGAGGGATGGAGCTCGGAAGGATGTGTTACAGGTTAGAGTGATGAAGGATGCAGTTGGAAATGTGCTGGCAAGTGAGGAGATTGTGTTGAGAAGGTGGAAGGAGCGTTTTGAAGAATTGATGAATGTAGAAAATGAGAGAGAGAAGGTTGGATGATGTGGAATTAGTGAAGTGCAGGGGGTTAGGGAGGATGAAGTGAGGGTAACTATGAAATAGATGAAGTGTGTAAAGGTGGTTGGTCCAGATGACATACCAGTGGAGGCATGGAGATGCTTAGGAGAAGAGTGTCCGGAGTGATTTGTGATAGAAGGGTACCTGCAAGAGTGAAAGGGAAAGTTTACAAGATGTTAGTGTGACCAACTATGTTTTATGGCCTTGAGACGGTGACACTGACAAAAAGACCGGAGCAGGAGATGGTGTCAGAGTTGAAGAGGTTTTTATTATTTTTTTTTCTTTGGGAGTGATGAGAAATTAGCATATTAGAGAGACCGCACAGTTAGGATGGTTTGTAGACAAAGTGAGAGGCGCGAGACTAAAGCCCTATTCGCACGGGATTAGTATTACCTGGTGACCTCCAGTCATTTGTAATAATTGCGGAGGTTGTCTGTGATCTTAATCCCGTGCGACTCGGCCGTGTCTGTAATTTGTAAAGTAAAAATTCCCCCGCAAATGACCTACCATATTTCGCCGAACACCGAGGTCCTGTGATAATATTAGTCCCGTGCGAATCGGCATCTCTGTGATTCGACCAGCATTTGGCGGGTCGTATATCATTTTTCGAGGTTTTTGTTTGCGGTGCGCCTTTTTATCCATCTTGCGCGAAGAATGGAGCTGCGTTGGAGTGTTTGATAGTATTTTGGGTGCTGTCATATCGCTACACCATACAATTTGCAGAAAGCGAAAGCTAAAAAGGTTTTGAGGTAATGTGTTACAAATAAATCAAGCATAAAGCGTGAGATACTATTTTAACCTGGTGAAATGTAAATCACACAGGGCATGAAACTATATTAGTTTCTTTGTTTTTAAATACTTCTAACCGGACCATTGAACGGGACTCTCAAAGCCTTGACATCGTCCGGGAGATAAGTCGGTAAATTCGAGTAAAATCACAGGCTTCGCTTATCCCGTGCGAATGCACCACACGGAATTCAGATGTGGGGGTGATTTCAAAATCACACAAGGTCCCCAGATAATACTAATTCTGTGCGAATAGGGCTTAAGATGGTTTGGGCATGTGCTGACAAAGGATGTGGGGCCACTGGGCAGGAGATTAGTGAGTACAGGAAGACCAAAAAGGAGGTTCATGGATGTTATTGATGGAGGATATACAGGTGGTTGGTGAGACAGAGGAAGATGCAGAAGACCGAGCAAATCTGGAGATGGATTTTTCTACTGTTATTATTATTATTATTATTTCAATTATTAATATTATTGTAGCTTTTGTTAAAATAGTCACAAGATGGTCGCAAGATAAATATTCAGATATTTTCCTCAGTCTGTCTTATTCAAACAATTATGAACATTTTTGCATTTAGATACAGAAGAACTTTGCCTGTTGAATATTAAAAACAAATGAACAAACAAAAAATCTGGATCTCCATGTCTGCCATGCAAATCAACTTTTCCTGCTCCTCTCCAGACTGGATCTCTTCTCTCCACTTTCCCTAATTGCAAATTCAATTATTAGATCTATCAGCATTATTATTTTTATACTTGGATTTTTTTGGGGGGATCAAATTGTAACACCGTGTGTCCCAACCAGACGCGACATGATAAAAAGTATCTTTTCCATGTAGTTTTTGTCCTAACCACCCGCAACAGCGACACGTGACAATAAGCGACAGGGGATTCTATTTTAGAAATGGTTTGTATTTTCTGCGACGTCGCGGCAGGGACGATATACAAAATATGACTTGTATGAATCTCAGGTAGCCGAATGATTATGTGCTTTATTTAATGTTAAAAGTGTCTAATGCGAGTTTGAATGTTATTTTGCGTGATCGTTATAGCCATAGTGAAAGCAACAATAGATATTTTACCTCAGATCTTGAAAATAAATTAAAGCAAACTTGTACGTTAAAACTGTGAACTCACTGCGAACCAACACGTGTATTTCACAACAAAGATGG